TCCTTGGACGACATGTCCATCCTGGGCCTCCTCCAGTGCCACAACGATGCCACCCGAAGGTTGCAGGAACAACACCTCATATTTGGCTTGGGAGCCCTGCAGCGCAATGGTATCAATGTGGATTTCACAAGCTTCAAAATCTCCCCACCCGCGACCTCATCCCAAAACCAGCCCAGCTCGTCCCCACCTCCTTGACCTGTCCGTCTTCCCTTGACTTACCAACCCGCATCCTGACTCCCCACCTACACTCACCTTTACTGGCTCCATCCCCGCCTCCTTAAACTGTCCATCTCCTCTCCTCCTATCTGTTCCTTTATCCACCTCCCCCCCTCTCTATTTATTTCAGAATCCTCTTTCCTTCCCCCATTTCTGAAGAAGGTTCCAGACCCAAAACATAAACTTTCCGGCTCCACGAGATGTTTTCTCAACTGTTGTCATTTCACCCAATCCCTCAGCTGGAAGGCAGCGCAAGCACAGTGCGAGTCCGCTGTCCGGAGCGGGCGCAGTGCAGTTCCTGCCCGCGGCTGGGCTCGATCTGTCTTTTTTTGGAGCAACAGCAGTCGCCGGAGAAAGGGGGAGGGGCATCTTACCCAGCGGCTTCTCATTCTGGCCCAAGCCACCAGCCGGTTGCCCTTGAAACCGTGTCAACAGCGGGTGCGGGCGGAGCTACAAATCCATGCGCCGGTCCCCCAGGAACATCACTGCCGAGCATAACGATTCCTATTGGCTGATTCAGGTAAGCCTACCCCCTCATTTGTAGGGGTCACTGTACAGATGTTGTTGTTCGAGCTTCAGAATGAAACTATTCCCATGCTGCAACATCTTGGACCAAAGCAATCATTCCCCCTCTTTCTTTTCTCATCGTGGGACGGAGGAGGAAAAGTGTTCACTTACAGCCCTGAAGGGAGTGGGAGTGAATCCAAAAAGGGAACATACTTTGGAAATGTTGGTTCAGGTGTGTTTTTCTTCCATTTATTGTCATTATTTGTTCTCTCAGCCTCACATATTTAATTGCCTGGCTAAAAAGTGTTGTCTCTTTCCTGATGTTCACAATGAGAGGATTTCTATCGGAGATAGTCAGGATTCAAGGGATACTTTGAAGTAATGCACTGTCTGTAAAACAGGTATATAATCCACTCTATACACATATACGTTTAGTGTCAGAGCCAGCAAGATTTTCAGGTTTGATTGTCCCAGACAGCAAGAACTGAGCAAAGATCTGTTGATCAGCATGACTTTTCACCTTGAGGAGAATGAGTTACACTAGTGGAAGGAGGAAGGGTAACTTCCATCTTTGGGATGAAAAGAGAATCTCGCCGAGAACCTAGAATTGTGATTACCCAGCATTCTCAAAAGTCATTTTAAAGGATAATAGAAGAGAAGGGAAGAAATCTCAAAGCTTTCAGGTGAAAAGCATATTTTTCACCTTGTAAAACAGGATCTGAACACTTGCTATGGGAGACCAGGTTAACTCAGTTGGTAGAAAATGTGCTGTCACAATTAAGGTCAAAATTCCATTTTCATCCTTCACAATTTGCAGCATCACGCATTCGAAACTGTCAGGGGAAATCACAGGAAAACTGTGAAATGAGCAATATTTGAGTGAAATGGTCTTGCAGCCAAAATCCCTATTGACAATCCAGGACTATGTTACTGTGAATGCTGATGTGAAAAATAAATAGGCTTCCTTCCATTTCTGGTCTACAAACCACACACCTTTCAGGTAACAGCCAGATGCAATGAACAAATTACCTGTTCAAATATGTTGCTTTTCACTGATCCAGATTGCATTTCAGTTAGCACTGATCAACCCATCTGACTCGCCTATCTATATCCTCCTGTAAGGTATGGGTATCTTCACTATTTACCAACCATTATTTTTGTGTCATCTGCAAAATAACTGATCAAGCCTCCCACATTCAAGTCTAAGTCATTTATACAAGTCAATTAAAAGCCATAACAGCAAGGACTGAATGCTAACCCACTGCGGGACACCATTGAACCCAGACTTTTCAGTCAGAAAATTATCCCTCAACAATCACCCTCTGCTTCCTGCCACTCACTGATACCAATTTGCCAAATTTCAATGAATCCCATGGCCTCTTACCTTTGCAATCACTTTCCTATGCGGTACCTAATCAAAAGCCTTGATATATAGGGAGACTACAGCAAATGTTGGTCAGATGTGAACTCCCCTTTAAAAAAAAATGCATGCTGGCTGTTCTTGATTAACCCCTGCCTCTCCAAATACAAATTAAATCTGTCCATCAGAATTACTTCCTATAGTCTTCCAACCACCAAGGTGAGACTGACTGGCTTGCAGTTTCATGGTTTATCCCTTACTCCCTTCTTGAATGAAGGTTCTACTTTGACTGTCCTTCAGTTCTTTAGCACCTCTCCTGTGGTCAGAGGGGAATCGAAAATTTTTGCAATCGCTCCTGCTCTTTCATTCCAACAATGTAGGATACATTTCAACTTACTATGAATATTGATCTGCATTTAAGCCTGTCAGACTACTCAATTCTTCCTCTCTCTCTCTCTTTGCTAATTTCTTTACATTCTCTCCTTCTCCCTGATTCACTTTCTCGCAAGTGAACACTGACACAAAGTATTCACTCAGAACCAGGCATCTGGTTCCACACACAGATTACCTCTGTGGTCCTTAATGGGCCTTACTCATGCCGTTATCCTTTAATCGTTAGTGTACCTGTAAAGCAACCGAGCATTCTCCTTTATTTTACCTGGCAGTATCAATTCACGTTCCTCTCCAGCTCTCCTTATCACCCCATTTAAGTTGCCTCTTGTACATTTATGTGAAAGTATCTGCTCCCTGTGCACTCTGGCCAAATTATATTGTGTCTTATTAAAATCAACCAATTTAGAACTTTTGTTTTGTGGCCCATCCTTGTCCTTTTCCATAGCAATCCTGAATCTTTTCAAAAGAGTTCTGATAACTGTCTGCAAAATGCTCCCACACTGATACTTCGACCACTTGTCCACCTTGGTTACCTAAAGCGAAGTCCAGGGCCTCCCCCTTTCTTATGGGACTTCTACATTCTGGCTTCAAAAGCTGTACTGGATCGATTTTAAAAGTTTCTCTAAACTTTTCACACTATGACAACCCCAGTTAATGTTGGGGAAGTTGAAATTCCCCACTCTCACGACCCTATTACTTTTACACTTCCCTGAAATTTGCCTCCTTACCTGCTCTTCTAGTGCTATTCATACAGGTTTATTTAAAGAGTTTTCTAAGCTGTAATAAATTTCCTGAACATTTCTTTTATTCATTAACGGGATGAGGGCGTCACTGACCAAACAGCATTTATTATTTATCCCTAATTGTCCAGAGGGCAGTTAAGAGTCAAACACATTGCTGTGGATCTGGAGTCACATGTAGGCCAGACCAGGTAAGGATGGCAGTTTCCTTCCCAAAGGACATTAGTGAACCAGATGGATTTTTCCTGACAATAAGTAATGGATTCATGGTCATCATTAGATTCTTAATTCCGGATTTTTTTTATTGAATTCAAATTCCACCATCTGCCATGGTAGGATTTGAGCCGGGTCCCCAGAACGTTATTTGGGTCTCTGGATTAACAGTCCAACGATAATTGTGATACATCCTTCTCTTCTGCCTCCTTCGCTGTCTCACTTGAAGACCCTGTATCTTGGAGTATTAAGCCTCCAATCCTGCCACTCTCTCAAGTACGTCTCAGTGACAACAATGTCATCATACTCCCATGTTTTAATTTGTATGCTCAACTCATCTGCCTTGTTCTTCAAACGGGTAGCATTAAAATCAATGCCATTCAACCATGTAAAACTCACTTGTACCTTTGCTGGCCTGTAATGTCGATGCTTTCTTGACTCACCTGTTGATTGTTCTCTTTTGTTCTTACCCTTTTGGACATTCTTTCTGGATCCCATCTCCTTGTCAAGTTAGGTTACACAGCCCAACAGCGCTTGTAACTAAATTTCCAACATGACAGGCTCTGAGATAGTGAGAATTGCCGATGCTGGAGTCAGAGATAATGGAGCTGGAGGAACACAGCAGGCCACTTCCGCCACCTGCAATCTGACCCCACAACCAAGAATATATTTCCCTCCCCACTCCTATCTGCCTTCTGTAGGGATCGCTATCTCCGTGACTCCCTCATCCGCTCCACACTCCCCACTCCCCACTAGTCCCATCACCTTTCCCTGCAACCATAGGAAGTGCTACACCTGACCCTACACCTCTCCCCTCACCTCCATCCAAGGAACCAAAAAAAACTTCCACATCAGACAGAGGTTCACCTGCATATCCGCCAATGTGGTCAACTACATCTGCTGCTCGCCATGTGGCCTCCTATACATTGGTGAGACCAAGCGGAGGCTCGGAGATCGCTTTGTAGAGCACCCTGTTCACGACAAATGACAACACCTTCCAGTCGCAAACCACTTCAACTCCCCCTCCTACTCCCTGGGTGATATGTCCATCCTGGATCTCCTCCAGTGTCACAATGACGCTACCCGGAAACTGGAGGAACAGCACTCATTATTCCGCCTTGGGAGCCTACAACCCAATGGTCTCAACGTGGACTTTATTAGTTTCAAAATCTCCCCATCTCCGGCCTCATCCGTGACCAACGCTTCCTCTCATCCCTGCCTCCTTGACCTGACACAACCTGTCCATCTTCTCTTCCCACCATCCGCTCCTCTCACCTCACTGACCAATCCCCACCACTGCCTACCTGCACTCAACTATCACCATCCCACCTACCTTCCCCAGCCCTTCTCTATTTATTTCAGAGCTCCCTTCTCCCCCCAACTCCCCTATTTCGGAGGAAGCATCTCGAACTGAAATGTCAACTTTCCTGCTCCTCCGATACTGCCTAGCCAGAGTTCCTCCAGCTCCACACTGTGTTATGTCTCACTCTGGATGTGCCTTCTCCTAACTGCTCATACGAAGGGTACACATGATTATCTAAGCACTCAGAATGAGACAAATTTGATGCAACTTAGTTTTAACAAAAATCTGATTTGTATTATTATCCCAAATAGGTCACTGAACCTGGGCGTTTACAAACATCAGAAACAGGTCCAGAACATGTGGTTTGGATATAGACAACAACAGCATCAAAATCCAACACTGACAGTTACTGGGCAACTCATTGCTTTTTGAATAGTCCTGATGAACCACAAAATCACTTCACAAACAATATACAGGTGGACAATCTTTAGCCAGTGTAAATGTGTTGATGTACAGCAACACTGATTTTTAAAAAAATGTACTATACACATACACAATTTATCAACATTTTATCTGCAATATCAGCACCTTTTAATAGAGCACATTTTAATAACATCAATACAAATGGCCTCATGACCAAACTTCATTCCTTCGTGTTAAGTAAAAGCAAAACTCTTCACCTGCGGTTATTCGTAAATTTGCTGGTGTGTTAGGAAACAGCAAATCCTTTTACTCAGAGCTGGTGAACAGGATCCACCCAGTGTCATTTCACTGGTGTGTTAACAGGTTGGACAATAGAGTGAATCCCTTCCCGCATAAAGTACGGAACAAATGAATGGTCTCTGCCCAGAGTGAACACGCTGATGTATCAGGAGGTGAGTTGACTGAGTGGATGTTTCTTCCGAGTGTGAACTTGCTGGTGTCTCCGCAGGTGAGATGAGTGAGCAAATCCTTTGCCACAATCAGAGCAGGTGAATGGTTTCTCCCCAGTGTGAATTCGCTGGTGTTCCAACAGTTTAGATGAGCGAATGAATCCTTTTCCACATTCAGAGCAGGTGAATGGTCTCTCCCCAGTGTGAACTCGTTGGTGTATCCTCAGGTGGGATGACTGAGTGAATCCCATCCCACACACAGAGCAGGTGAATGGTCTTTCCCCAGTGTGGACTTGCTGGTGTATCAGCAGGTTGGATGACTGAGCGAACCCTTTCCCACATTCAGAACAGGTGAATGGTCTCTCCCCAGTGTGAACTCGCTGGTGTATCTGCAGATTGTATGATTGCGCGAATCCTGACCCACATTCAGAACAGGTAAATGGTCTCTCCCCAGTGTGAACTCGCTGGTGTATCTGAAGTTTGGATGACTGAGCAAATCCTTTCCCACATTCAGAACAGGTGAATGGTCTCTCCCCAGTGTGACTGCGTTGGTGTATCTGCAGGCTGGATGACTGAGTGAATCCCATCCCACACAGGGAGCAAGTGAATGGTCTCTCCCCAGTGTGGACTCGCTGGTGTATCTGCAGGTTGGATGACTGAGTAAATCTCATCCCACACAGGGAGCAAGTGAATGGTCTCTCCCCCGTGTGAACTCGCTGGTGTTTCAGCAGGTTGGATGACTGACTGAATCCTTTCCCACACTGGGGACAGGTGAATGGTTTCTCCCCAGTGTGAACTCGCTGGTGTCTTTGTAGGTTGGATGACCGAGTGAATCCCATCCCACACTGGGAGCAGGTGAATGGTCTCTCCCCAGTGTGAACTCGCTGGTGTCTCTGCAGGTGGGATGACCGAGTGAATCCCATCCCACAATAAGAGCAGGTGAATGGTCTCTCCCCAGTGTGACTGCGTTGGTGCATTTCCAACTGGGATGGGGAAAGAAATCCCTTCCCACAATCACCACATTTCCACAGTCTCTCCCCAGTGTGACTGCGCTGGCGTTTAGACATTTCGGATCAAGATCCACAGATGATTCCACACACCGACAATACGCGTTTCTCCGCGGTGTGAATGGTGCTTTTCCTTTCAATGTTCAAGATCCTGAGATAATTTAGGTTATTACAACAGAGTGACTGTCAGATCTGGATGTGGTTTCGTTTGAAATCTCTCATTGCAAAACAACCTTTCAAACAGAAAACAAATGTATTAGGCAAAACCAGAAGAACACACAGGTTGTGAAACTGAGAGAAGTTAATCTGGTCACTTGTGGAGTTGATATTTAGGGAAACTGCTGGATGATCATTAAAACTGAACTGGTTCGTAAATGTCCTTCAGGGAAGGCAACCAGTCAGTGTTTGCACAAAACTACAGCAAGAGATAGAGGTGGGAGAGACAAGCACGAAGGAGGAGTATTTTATAGATCTACAACTGAATCCTGTTCCTGTTTTCTCCCATACCCTCCAAATGGCTAAAAACAAGTGCACGGTTCCTGGAAAGTAGAGTTTCAGGTAGATCAGGTGCCAAAGAAGGCGTTTGTCACACTTGCCTTTGTTGGTCAGTGCACTGATCAATAAAGGGACCCGGGTTCGATTCCACTGTTTGTGTGGAGTTTGCACATTCTCTGTGTCTGAGGGGGTTTCCTCCACATGCTCCAGTTTCCCCTCTCAGTCCAAAGATGTGCAGGTTATGTGGATTAGCCTTGGGAAATGCAGGGATAAAAGGGGTTGGATGCTGTTTGGATGGTTGGTGTGGACTCATGGGCCGAATGGCCTACTTCCACACTATAGGGATTCTACTATTGAGTACAGGAGTTGGGAGTTCACGTTGTAGCTGTATAGGACGTTGGTGACACCAATTTTAGAATACTGCATTCAATTCTAGTCTCCCAGATTTCAGAAGGATGTTACCAGGGTAGGTTACCAGAATTTACCACTTAATGGTAAATTCCTGGGGAGTGTTACAGAACAAAGAGACCTTGGAGTGCAAGTTCACAATTCCTTTAAAGTAGAAATGCAGGTAGACAGGATAGTGAAGGTGACGTTTGGTACACTAGCTGTTATTGGTCAGTGCAGTGGGTATAGGAGTTGAGAGGTCATGTTGTGGCTGTACAGGACATTGTTAAGGCCACTTTTGGAATACTGCATTCAGTTTTGGTCTCCCTGATACAGGAAAGATGTTGTGAAACTTGAAAGAGTTTTGAAAAGATTTACAAGGATGTTGTTGGGTTTAGAGGGTTTGAACTATAGATAAAGGCTGAATAGGCTGGGGCTATTTTCCCTGGAGCATTGGAGGCTGAGGGGTGATCTTAAAGAAGTTTATAAAATCGTTAGGAGCATGGATAAGGTAAATAGACAAGGTCTTTTTCCAGGGTAGGGGAGTCCAAAACTAGAGGGCATAGGTTTAACCTCTAGTTAAGTGCAGCAAGGAGCAACTTTTTTATGGAGAGGGTGGTGCCATGCATGGATTGAGCTGATTGGCATGGGCGAGTTGGACTGAAGGGTCTGTTTCTGTGCTGTATAACTATGACTCTAAGTGCTTAGGCAAAGTGATGGAAACCTGAAATAAAAACAAAATGCTGGAGATACTCAGTGGGTCTGGTAGCATCTGAAATGGTGACAGATGCAGGAATCATTGCAACTTTGAAGAAATATTTATATGATCATACAAGGCATGACAATATAGGTTACACGCTGAGTGCTGGAAAATGGGATGAGAGTAAACAGATGCTTGATGACCAGCACGGATACGATGGGGATATTATGTTCTACAATTTTATATCAGAGACTCTGGCCCCATTTTGTTCCGTGTTTCTTTGTCACTCTTTTAGGAAGCAGGCAGGAGTAACAAGCAGTGAAGAATGCAAATGATAAGGTGGCATTCATAGTGAGAGGATTCAAGTACAGCAGCAGGGATATCTTTCCGCAGGGGCTTTGGTGAGACCACACCTGGAGTACTGTGTGCCCTTTGTTCTCCTTTCCCAAGGATGGACGTCCTGGCTATCGAGAGAGTATAATGAAGGTTCATCAGACTGATTCCTGGGACGTCAGGACTGATGGAGGAAGAGAGACTCTATCCTCGTTTAATCCTTTCTTTTGTCTTTCTGAGCTGCTGACTGCATCCCATTTTCTGATCTTAATCTGACCCATCTAAGCCTACACTTTGGTTCCCAACCCCCTGCCATACTAGTTTAAAACCTCACCAACAGGACAAGCAAAAGCCCCACGAGGAGATTTGTTCCGGCTCTGCCTAGGGGCAACCATCAGGCTTGTGTAACCCAGAAACAGTTCCAATGCTTCAGGAATCCAAACCTCCTCTGGTACACCATTTCTCTGGCCACACATTCATCTGATCTATCCTCTTATTTCTGCTTTTGCTAGTACATGGCACTGGGAGTGAGTCTGACATTGTTACATTTCAGGACCTGCATTTTAATGTATCTCCTATTTTCCTAAATTCAGCTTTCAGGCCCTCATCTTTGTTTAGCTATGTCATTGGTACCTATGTCTTCCGCAACCACTGACTGCTTACCCTCCAGCTCCAGAAGGTCTTGCAGCTGCTCTATAGTATCACACAGATCCTGGCACCAGGGATGTAACGTACCATCCTAGATTCATGTCTACGGCCACAGAAATGCCTGTCTGTATCCCTGACTGAATGCTCAGTCATTATAGCCCTGCCACTAACTTACCTTCCCTTCAGTGCAGCAGAGCTATTTGTGGTGTCATGAACCTGGCTGTTGCTGATTTTTCCTGAGAGGCCACTCCACCTGCCCCCCCCATCAGAATGCACATTGCAATATCTATCTGAGATGGGGATGACCACTGGGGACTCCTGCATTTCCTTCCTAAGCCTTTTACTTTATCTGATGGTCACCCTTTCTGCATTTATAATCCTCACCTGCAGTGTGACCAATTTGCTAAATGTGCTGTCCATAACATTCTCAGTATCACGGATGCTCCACAGTGAGTCTACCCACAGCTCCAGCTCCAGCTCTGAAAAGCAATGACCCAGTAGATGCAGATGGACACACTTCCTGCACACACAGCCATCACAGACACTGGAAGCGTCCATTATTTCCCACATTGTGCAAAAGGAGAACACCATGGGTCTGAGGTCTCCTGTCGTGACTTCTCTCTTGATTCAGCTAGTTACTCCAGTTAAGAGAACTTAAATAGGCTAGCAATCTTCCTTCGTTTTAAACATTAATTATAATCGAAAGCCCATACTTTTACTTAATCTGATATACTTTAAAAACTGTAAAAAAAATACTCCGCAAGTATCCCTTACAAATTGACTGTTCCAACTGGGACCGTGCGACTTTCTGAATGGCCTGAAGTGAAACTGAGTGCTATACTCAGTGTTTCAGCTTTGCTTTCTCCCTGTCTCACCTCACGGTTTTCACCCAACTCCAAAGCACGCTCATTGAGCCAAGCAGCACTCTCAGTGCAGCCTTGTCATTTTCATCATCTGTTCACACCTACACTGACCTCAGCCTCCTGTACTGTGCCAATGCAGCTCAATGGGAGCTCAGGGGGAACAGCATCTCATCTTTCAATTCAGCCCTTTATAACTGCCAGGCTCAACATGGACTTCAGCAGTTTCTGGATCAACAGAGAGTTGTTAGGATCTGGTACACCTGAAAACATGCTGCAATTCAAGTCCATAAGGAACTTTAAAAGAAATCTGCAGGTAATTGAGAATGAGCAGTTTATAGACTAAAATCATGAAGTGGGTGACTGGGACTAAATTTGACAGTTCTTTCAATGAGGCAAGATATAATTTGGATAAATCTGTGCTCCCTCTCAGGCCACTATCTCCTTCCGCAGCCGCAGGGCACAGAACTGAGCACGTACTCCAAAGGCGATCTAACTACTAATTTGAACATCCTGCTGCTTTTCGATTTGCAAACATATCAGAGATATTTTCCCACAGACACAACAGGCAAACCTCTTTCCTTCCACAGTTAAATGCCAATGATATTCAGATCCATATTCAGATCCTAACTGTCAGAACTTGTTTTGAGATCCCAGTCTCAATTATTCTCAATTAAAATCCTGTCAAACGAATTCACAAAAGAAAAATCACTGTCAGTCCAGGATAGAAATCTAGAAAAGACAAACATTTCTCTTGGTTTCAGTTTCGTGTGTACATGATACTCTTCAAATCGCCCTGTCCCCACCCAGGGGGAAGCATGCGCATGTGTATTGCTGCACCTTGTCCCCAATCAAGTTGGCGGCAGTAGCCTGGGGCCTATCACCGGCTGAGACCCACAGCTGTTTTCCCGTTACTGCAAACGCTGGACCGAGTTTCTAAATCGGGTCAAGCGGCCTACACCAGGTGTCCATAAAACCTCCCGGTCCAGACTGAGTCCATTTCTCTCCCGGTTTCCACTGTTTCTACCCACCTTACTTGTCTCCTCCTTCCACACTCACTGGAGACACTAGTCATCCGTCATTGCGCTGGCAGAGTTAATGATCACATGTTGTCCTGCTGGACCCGCCCCTCGTTAACTCCATTGGTTGGAGGATCAGGCGCTTCTGCTTGGTCCGCCAGCCCCGCCCGCTCCCCTCCTATTGGTCGGTGACCTGCCGTCAATCAGCCGGACTCATTGTGAAGTGGGTGGCGGGACCCTCCCTCTCTCTGTCCTAGGATGCACTTCATCATTCACAGTAAATGGTGCAGTATCACAGAGCACAGGGGTTGGTAATTATTCAGACCACTGGGGCTGTACTCTCTTCCTCCAGAGATACTGGAAATCTGTCCAAACTCCCCTGCCATTTGCCCACAGCTCTCCAAATATTTCCTTAAGAAGTTAGGTAGAATATAATATCTTTATTGTCACTTATACTCCAGTACATAAATACAGTGAAAAGATTTTACAATGGCTGCCTTTTAATGGCGCCGTCCTAGGCACAAATCTTTCAGAGAAAAAAAAAGTGTTGTTATACAAAAGGGGATTAAAAGATAACAATTTACATTACAGCCTGATAAGAGTACCAAATAGCAGCAGCTCAGCCCATGCCACCAGGCCCTAGTCCAACAACTATCCCACATCGTTCCAGCCTCCAGTTCGCTCCTCATCCAAATCTCTTGACAATAACTGCTGAATCTGTATCCAGCTGCTGTTCAGACTGTTTCTGATGCTCAGAACTTACTGAGTAAAATAATCTTTACATTTTCACCCTGAATTATTTGCCAATTACCTGACAGTGGTTACTAAAAATTGTGAAAATACTGAGAATTTTTCTCTATCTCTGCAAATTAAATATTCTGGAACAAATCTGCACCTGGACTAAATCAGTGCTTAAATTTCTCAGCTCCAAGGAGAATTATCTGACTTGCTGCTACATCCACAAAACAGAAACCCATCTTAATTTTAATTTATTAGAGTCATAGAGACATAGAGATGTACAGCACAGAAACAGACTCTTTGGTCCAACTTGTCCATGCTGACTCGGTATCCTAAATTAATGTAGTCCCATTTGCTAGCGTTTTGCCCATATCCCTCTAAACCCTTCCTATTCATGTACCCAACCAGATGCCTTTTAAATGTTGTAACTGTACCAGCCTTCACCAGTTCCTCTGGTAGCTCATTCCATACACGCACAACGTTCAGCCCCTTAGGTCCCTATTAAATCTTTCCCCTCTCACCTTAAAACTATGCCCTTGAGTTTTGGACTCGCCTACCCTGGGGAAAAAGACCCTGGCTTTTCACCTTATCCATGACTCTCATGATTTATAAACTTCCATCAGGTCTCCCCCTCAGCCTCTGACACTCCAGGGAAAACCGGTCCAGCTGATTCAGCCTCTCCCCATAACTCAAACCCTCCAACTGTGGAAACATCTTTGTATATCTTTTCTGAACCCATTCAAGTTTAACAACATCTTTCCAGTAGCAGGGAGACCAGAAATGAAGGCAGTATTCCAAAAGCCGCAACACGACATCCCACCTCGTACACGCAAAGCACTGACCAATAAAGGCAAGTGTACCAAAAGCCTTATTCACTATCTACCTGCGACTCCACTTTCAAGGAGCAATGAACCTGCACCCCAAGGGCTCTTTGCTTGACAAAACTGCTCAGGACCTTATACTTAAGTGTACAGATGCTGTCCTGCTTCGCCTTATCAAAATGCAGCATCTCATATTAATCTATATTAAACGCCATCTGCCACTCCTTGGCCTGTTGGCCCACCTGATCAAGATCCCATTGTACTGAGATAACCTTCCTCGCTGTCTACTACATCAACAATTTTGGTAGCAGCTGCAAAATTACTAATCATACCTCCTAAATTCACATTCAAATAATTTATATAAATGATAAAAAACAGTGGACCCTGCACCAATCCTTATGGCACATCACTGGTCACAGATCTCCGATCTGAAAAGCAAGTCTCCACCACTACCCCTCTGTCTTCTACCTTCAAGCCAATTTTATATCCAAATGGGTAGTTCTCCCTGTATTCCATGTGATCTAACCTTGTTAACCAGTCTACCATACAGAACCATGTCGAACGCTTTGCTGAAGTCCATGCAGACAACGTCCATTGCTCTGCCTTCATCAATCTTCTTTGTCATTCCTTCAAAGAATTCAATCAAGTTAGTGAGACACAATTTTCACACACAAAGCCATGTTGATTATCCCAAATCATCCCTTGTCTTTCCAAATACATGTAAATCCTATCACTCTGAAACTCCTCCGACAACTCATCCACCACTGATTTCAGGTACATCTGTCTATAGTTCCCTGGCTTTTCCTTACCATTGTTTTTAAACAATTGCACCAGGGTCTTCGGCACCTCATCCATGGTTATTGATGAAACGAATATCTCAGCAAGGGGCCCAGCAATCACTTCCCTAGTTTCCACAAAGTTCTGGGATATACCTGATCAGAACCCAGGGATTTATCCACCTTTGTATGTTTTAAGATGTCCAGTACCACCACCTCTGTAATAAGGACACTTTTCAAGATATCACTATTTATTTCTCCAAATTCTCTAGCTTCCATACCTTTCTCCACAGTAAAATCTGACATGAAATACTCGTATAATGTCTCTCCCAGCTCCTGCAGTTCCACACATAGACAGCCTTATTGATCTTTAAGGGGCCCTATTCGCTGCCTGGTTAGTCTTTCATTCTTAATAAAAACTGAAAGAACTGTGGATACTGTGAAACAGAAACGAAAACAAAACTTGCCGGAAAAGCTCAGCAGGTCTGGCAGCATTTGTGAAGAGAAATTAAAGTTAACATTTTGGGTTATGAGAAAGGGTCACCAGACCCGAAATGTTAACTTTGATTTCTCTTCACAGATGCTGCCAGACCTGCTGAGCTTTTCCGGCAACTTCTGTTTTTGAGTCCTTTATTCTTGATATATTTGTAGAATCTCTTTGGATTCTCCTTAATCTTATTGCCAAAGCTTTCTGATATCCTTTTTCACTCTCCTGATTTTCCTCTTAAGTATAGTCCTACTGTCCTTATACTCCCCTAAGGATTCACTTGATCCCAGCTGTCTATACTTGACATATGTCTCCTTTTTCTTGATCACAGCCTCAATTTCTCCAGTCATCCGGCATTCCCTACACCTAACAGCCTTGCCCTCAATAGGAACATGCTATCTCTGTACTCTCATTGCCTCTGTGGGCCATCAAAAATGAGACAATGGCAGGTGAGGACCTAGAAACGATCATTCTCACTAAAGATGTAGTGTTGAGCATGCTAATGAGGCTAAAGGTAGACAATCTTCTGGCCCTGATGGAATGCATCCCAGGGGACTAAACGAGATGGCAGGGGAAATAGCAAATGCGTTTGCGGTAATTTACCAAAATTCGCTGGATGCTGGGGCGGTTCTGGCAGATTGGAAAACAGAATATGTGTCCCCACTGTTTAAAAAAGGAGTTAGACAAACGGCGGGTAAGTATAGGCCCATTAGCTTAGTTTCTGTACTGGGGAGAATGCTTGAATCTAGAAATCAAGGAAGAAATAGCGAGATATCTGGATAGAAGTTGTCCCATCAGGCAGATGCCTGGGTTCATGAAAGGCAGTTTAACTAATTTACTGGAATTCTTTGATGACATTATGAACACGGTGTAAAACAGGGAACTGGCTGATGTGGTGCGTTTGGATTTCCGGAACTCATTTGACAAGGTGCCACAAAAATGGCTGCTGCACAAGATGAATGTGCATAGCATTACAGGTAATGTATTAGCATGGATAGAGGATTGGTCAACCAACAGAGCAAAAACTAGGGATAAATGTGTGTTTTTCTGGTTGGCAGTGGCTAGTGGTGTGCCTCAGGGATCAGTGTTGGAACTGCAATTGTTTATCATTTACATAGATGATTTACAGTTGGGGACCAAGTGCAGTGTCAGAGTTTGCAGATGACACTAAGATGAGTGGTAGGGCAAAGTGTGCAGAGGACACCAAGTCTGTAGAGGGATATAGATAGGTTAAGTGAGTGGCAAGGGTCTGGCAGGTGGAGTACAATGTTGGTAAATGTGAGGTCATCCATTTTGGTAGGAATAACAACAAAATGGACAATTATTTTAATGGCAAAAAATTACAGCATTCTGCTGTGCAGAGGAACCTGGGTGTCCTTGTGCAGGAACCACAAATAGTTGGTTTACAGGTGCAGCAGGTAGTTAAGAAGGCAAATAGAGTATTGTCCTTCATTGCTAGAGGGATCGAGTTTAAAAACAGGGAGATTATGCTGCAACTGTATAGTGTGCTGGTGAAGCCACACCTGGAGTACTATGTACAGTTTTGGTCTCCTTACTTGAGAAGGGATGTACTGGCACTGGAGGGAGTGCGCAAAGGTTCACTAGGTTGATTCCAGAGGTGAGAGGATTGACTTATGAGGAGACATTGAGTCTCTGGGACTATACTCATTGGAATTAGAAGAATGAGGGTGGATCTTATCGAAAAATATAAAATTATTAAGTGAATAGATAGAATAGAAGCAAGGAGGATGTTTCCATTGGCAGGTGAAACTAGAAGCAGGGGACATAGCCTGAAAATGAGGGGTAGCAGATTTAGGACTGAGTTGAGGAGGAACTTCTTCACCCAAAAGGTTGTGAATCTGTGGAATTCCCTGCCCAGTGAAGTAGTTAAGGCTATGTTCTTGAATGTTTTTAAGGCAAAGATAGATTTTCTAAGGTTTTGGAGTAGATTTTTGAGTGGTGAAGGAATTCAGGGTTATGGTGAGTGGACAGGAAAGTGGAGCTGAGTCCATGAAAAGATCAGCCACAATCTTATTCAATGGCAGAGCAGGATTTAGGAGCCAGATGGCTTACTTTTGCTCCTATTTCTTATATCCTTATGTTCCCGCTTTCCAGCGGTCCATTTACCTACGAATATCCGCTCCCAGTCAAATTTTGAATATTCTTGCCTAATAGCATCAAAATTGGCCTTTGGTCAACTTACAACTTTAAATTTTTAGATCTGGTCTATCCTTTTCCATAACTATTTTAAAACTAATAGAATTATCATAGAATCCCTACAGTGTGGAAGCAGGCCATTCAGCCTATCAAGTCCACACCAACCCTCCGAAGAGCCTCCTACACTACCCCTGTAATCCTGCATTTCTCATGGCTAATCCACCTAGCCTGCACATCCCTGGACTGTGGGAGGAAACTGGAGAAGCCAGAGGAAACCCACGTAGACACGGGGAGAATATGCAAACTCCACACCCAAAGGTGGTATTGAGCCAGCAATGGTGCTGAGGCAGCAATGCTAATCACTGAGAGATAGTAAGAACTGCCAATGCTGAAGTCAGAGATAACACAGTGTGGAGCTGGAGGAACACAGGAGGCCAGGCAGCATCAGAGGAGCAGGAAAGTTGACGTTTCAGGTCGGGACCCTTCTTCAGAAATGGGGGAGGGTGAAGGGAGGTCCAAAAGAAATAGACAGAGGAGGGGTGGGGCTGGGGAAGGTGGTGGGATGGTGATAGGTGAGTGCAGGTGGGCAGTGATGGGGATTGGTCAGAGAGGTGGGAGGAGTGGATAGGTAGGTGAGAAGATGGGCAGGTTGTGTCAGGTCAAGGAAGCGGGGTTGGAGAGGGAGGGTTGGTCATGGGATGAGGCCGGAGGTGGGGTGCTTTTGAAACTAGTAAAGTCCACATTGAGACCATTGGGTTGTAGGCTCCCAAGGCGGAATATGAGGTGCTGCTCCTCCAGTTTCTGGCTGGTGTCATTGTGACACTGGAGGAGGCCCAGGAGAGTCATGTCACCCAGGGAGTAGGAGGGGAGTTGAAGTGGTTTGCGACTGGAAGGTGTTGTCGTTTGTCGTGAACACAGCATAGGCGCTCTACAATTCGGTCTCCAAGCCTCCGCTTGGTCTCACCGATGTACAGGAGGCCGCAGTGGATGCCATAGACCGCACTGATGGATGTGCAGGTGAACCTCTGATGTGAAAGGGCCAATGTACCGTGGGATCTCTGGTCCC